AAATAAAAAATTAAAACATTGTCATACATATTTGCAAATGCATCAAACTTACTTTCTTTTAATACACTCACCCACCTATGCCCGCTTATGAATGCACATGTTCACATACACTCAAGCACCAATATGCACACAAACATGGACACACACACATACACACACACTCACACACACACACATACACACACACACGCAAACAAATCTGTGCCAACATACACACACACAAATTATGCACTTAATGGTTTTATACACATATTAAAAGAGAGAGAGAGAACTAGTGAGTGAGAGAGAGACAGAGTGACAGGGAGAAAGAAGAGAAAGACAGAGGAGAAATATGATAATAGTATTTGCAATTCTGTTTCTTAATTCCTTGTTATTTTTCTTTTGTTTACAGACATGTCATGAATGAACTCATTGAAACAGAAGAAGCTTATGTGAATGAACTCAATCAAATACTTCAGGTAGGTGTTTATTATTATCAGTCTCTTCCACCAAAGACTGCCTCTGAAGGGTCCCACTGTAAATGTTTTACATCAGCACAATTGGGATAGTTCTGGAGGCAGGCTGCTGCATATAGCCTACTTTTGAGCTGGAATAAGCTTCATCTAGATGTAATCTTTAAGTATTTATATTAGCATTTTTATTGTTCTTACCATTATGTAGATGATGATGGTGATTTTTATTATTACTTTAATACCATTATTGTTATTAAATCAATATTGTAATTATTTCAAATGTAATGAATGATGATGATGATGATTATTATTATTTATTATCTATTTGTGGTGGCCAAATTTTGCTATTCAAAAGGCTTTTTAATGGCTGCATTGATTGACATGGTTTTCGCCAAAAGATTCTTTAAAATATTCTCCAGAGCATGACGCCCTTGGTTTTTTCAGTTTTGAGACAGTTTTGCTGCAAAAAGCTGAATTTCTTTATTTCCCCGATCGCTTTTGTAGGCCAACGCTTCCGTCTCTGTAATTTTAGAAAATCCGAAAGTGATATTTCGCGAGGCACATTTTGTTTTGAGAGTATAGATCTAGATCTTATAATTTTTTGTATCTTTCAAGATTTATTGCCCCATTCCAGTAGAGTGTAAATATAGTAGGCCAATGACTTTTAGTTTATATTAAAGCACCGATCATTCCTTTCATTGAAAGGGGGCCCCGCTAGTTATTATTATTGTTATGATTATGATTATTATTATTATTAATATTTTTGGGTTTACTGATCTCAGTGCTGAGCCATTGATCATGGTTTTTTATCTTGAAGGGCTTTTAACTCGTATTGTTGTTAGGTGTCGTCAAGGGGCTGCGGTATGTGTTGTGATTCTTCAAGCCAATCTGTTTTGCATCATTGTCATGCACTTAGCAGGCCTTCTACCTCATCCCATCTTTATGTCATCTTTCGATTAGCTTCTTGGATGTCATTGTATTTGAACTTGCACTGAAGAAAATCGTCCTTTTCAACTTTTTTTCAGGGTTACTATAGGAAATTTGAGGATCGCTCCATGCAGATGATGATCCCACCTGCTTTACTGGGACAGAAACATGTGTTGTTTGGGAACCTGTCACAGATCTACAGCTTCCACAAGGAGTGAGTCGATATATTGTGCTCTTATTTTTAACCATTTATAAATTTTAATTTTTGCAAGCATCAGCCGTACAATTCCAGGTGCTGTTTAAGTTCTGCTTTTCCGTTTAATATCATAATATCAGCTTTTATGCTTTCAACGAGATAGACAGACAGGGTCGTTTGGTGGATGGATGAAGGGAAGGAGGGATGGGTGTGTGGATAAATATATAGGAGGATGTAAGGTAAATCGATAGACAGATAGATAGAGGGCGTAAGAGAGAGGCGTGCGGCGCACGCTTGGGAGAGGGACAGAGAGAGAGAGAATAGATAAAATTTTCACACATATGTATCTTTGTTATGCTAAAACTTTCAGAGATGCTGTGGTATCACTGTAAACATTTCTTCCTTTTTTCAGTGTTTTCCTACAAGAACTCAAAAACTGCAGAGATGCTCCTTTAAGAGTTGGCAAATGCTTTGTGAACAGGGTAAGTAGTCCGTCTTTCTGTATCAAATGATAGAATTGACTGTCCTAGGAACAGAATTTCTTCTGTAAAGTGCCAGATCTGAATCAGACATTGGTGATCATGGATCTCTGCTCATTTCTCTGCTGGGATGCTTTCAGAAAAACCTGTATTATCCTGGTCTTTTCCTGCCAACCATCTGTTCAAGTTCCTTAAGTGGGTTGGTTAATCTTGGTCAACCTCTGCCACTTTTGGAGACCTCTGTCTCTAAAAATGTCATTTCTCAGAATGTTATTGTGGTTACTGCGGTTTACTCTCTGGTTTATAAAAAAATGTTAGGGGAAGAAAGGTTTCTGAAGATCAAGATAGATCTAGTCTTGGTTCCTAATTGTATCCAGATGGAACTTTCCTGTCGACCACACTCAGATAAGAGGTGTCTGTAGTGTTGTAGTGGTTAATCGCTTCATAATCACATGCAGAAGACCTGAGTTGGATTCCCATTTTGGGAGGTTTATGTATTACTCCATCTGTCTGCTGACATTCTATCCCTCTCTGCCAGGTTTGGCCCTGACAGGTAGGGTCGAAGCAGCCCATTTTCTAAATAAACTAAACTGTGCTGACAAAGTCATGAAACATTTACAGTCAGTCAAATAGTTAAGAGCTTGTGAGAAGCCCAAAGTAAAGATGAAGCAGCCAACCTCCTAAATTATCTCAATCGCGTTGATGAGGGCGTTGAACATTTCAACCAACCTCAATACATAAAGTTTTCTCCACTATAATTACTGGATCTTGAATATGATCAAAGCTGGGAATACTTACATTTCTCTATAAGCTTTATAACTTGTGTGAATCACACATTCTATTACTATTATGGATTATATTTCATAGAATATGTTTTATTTAAAAGCCTATGTCGTTCCAGTTTTGTGATTAACCTTAACTATTCTACAGGAAATGTGGTCTTTATTGAAAATTCTTGTTTTGACTTTATGTAAATTACCAAGTACCAAGATGGCACCTTTGACAAATGAAATTTTATCCCCTAAACTTTCACAGAAAGAAGAGTTCCAGATGTACAGTATTTACTGTCAGAACAAGCCCAAGTCAGAGGCACTCCGAGTCATGGTCGGAGATAGCAACCCATTCTTCAAGGTGAGAATCTGAGACTTTTTGGGGTTCTTATTATGGGCTTTCACACCTTTTTTAATTCACTGTCAGGTTTTATTGATATGGTCCAGCTTTTTTTGTTTTCATTTTTAGCCATTACACGCCATATTTATATATATATATATATATATTGTTGTGTTACTTGGTTGGCTCCTGTTCAATCTTTAGTATTATCTGTCCCTTGGTCATCCTCTGCCTGTTTCCTTCCACTCTTCCCAAATTATCTAAAATGTTTTGATGCAGGCTTAAAACACTGACAATTGTACTTAAAATTCCACAGGAGTGTCAACACCAGCTGGGTCACAAGCTGCCCCTGGGAGCCTATCTACTGAAGCCTGTACAGCGCATCACCAAGTACCAATTGCTTCTGAGAGTAAGTTAAGACGTCAGGGATTTATTTTGCTGTAATGTTGTTTTTTTTGCTGTTGTTGTTGTTTCGTTGTTGTTGTTGTTGTTCCTGTTGTTAAAGTTGTTGTTAAAGTTGTTGTTACTTGTGGTTGTAGGGTAGTGATGGTGATCTATTTGCTGCTGCCACTATTGCTGTTGTTGCTGTAGTAGTTGTTGCTATTTTTTATCATGTTGTTATTATTTCTTAGCCAGTGATTTTGATTTTCATGAAAGGAGGATTTTTTTTTCGAAATAGAGTATCTACGTCTGCCTGTAGGGATGTTAAATCCCTTTCGGTGCATGTTTGCCCTGGCAGGCAGGGTTAAAGCTTCTCGTCTCCTAAATGCTCTAACTTATGCCTATTTGTTTGGTGGGGGGGG